AAAATGCGTTTAGCCTCACCCAAGTCCTTCATCTCAAACTCATTTGAAAATTAAACTTTCAACTCATCTATAGCCGACCTGAAAGTAGAGACAACCAACATGTCATCGACATAAAGTAACAAATAGATGTACGCACCTCCTTTCAACTTGCGAAAATATACGCAAGGATCAAACTGGCTCCGAGTGTACGAATGACCAATCATAAAACCATCAAATCGCATATACCACTGTCGAGGAGACTGTTTCAAACCGTATAGCGATTTCTTCAATCTACAAACTAATTTTTCCTTCCCTGCAGCTCGGAATCCCAATGGTTGAGTCATATATATTTCTCCATCAAGATCACCATGAAGAAATGCCGTCTTCACATCCAACTGATCTAACTCCAAACCATACTGTGCCACCAAAGCTAGCAGAATCCGAATCGAAGAGTGGTTCACCACCGGAGAGAAAACCTCATTGTAGTCAATACCTTCCTCCTGTGCATAGCTCTTCGCAACCAACCTAGCTTTGAACCGCAATGGAGTGTCCTCAATGCCCTCCTTCTTCGTGTATACCCACTTGCAACCAATTGCCTTCCGCCCCTTTGGAAGCTCAACAAGCTCCCATGTATCGTTCTTATGAAGAGATTCAATTTCCTCCTGCATAGCCACCTGCCACGAATCAGCCTCCGAACTCTGCTCGGCCTCTCTGAATGTAGTAGGCACCAACTCATCGATACTCTCCACCGGAAGTGCATATGCAACTGTGTCGGCATACCATACTGGCATCTGTATGTTTCTCCTCTGTCTCTAAACCGTAATAGAATCCTGAACCTGAGCCGTCGATTCCTGATCCTGCACATTTGTACTCGTATCCTCCGTGTCACCGTCGTGCTCGCCTGGCGTCACCTCAGTCGGCACCTGCATGGATACTGTACCATCTGGACAATGTGGAGCTGCATCGATCTTCACCACCTGTGATATCTCCTCCGTCGGGTCGCCCTCCACCTGATGAGAGCTGGGAAGCTTCAAGATAGAAGCCTCATCAAATGTGACATCCCTACTCAGCACAATCTTCTTATCCACTGGATCCCAAAGCTTGTATCCCTTGACACCACGCTTGAATCCTACAAATATGACCTTCCTAGCTCAAGGTTCCAATTTATCAGTTCATGCAGGGCACCCAAATACCTTGAGCTGGTCATAGTCATGTGCTAGCTTTCCCGACCACATCTCCATAGGGGTTTCCCCCTCAATCGCAGATGAAGGCAGCCTATTAATGAGGTGGCTCGCATATGTAAGTGCCTCAGCCCAAAAAATCTTCTCCAAACTACTCTGCGACAATAAGTATCGGATCTTCTCCAGTGAAGACCGATTCAACCTCTCTGCCACCCCATTTTGCTGTGGTGTATGACTAACCGTGAAGTGTCTCTCTATGCCCTCGTCTCGACATAGCTGCTGAAAGGGGTCAGAAGTATACTCACCACCGTTGTCGGATCGCAACGTCTTGATCTTTCTCCCAGTCTACAATTCCAATCTCTTCTTCCACTCCACAAACAAATCTAGGACTTCACTCTTCTTCGTCATGGTGTACACCCAACAACGCCTAGAATAGTCATCTACAAAAGTGACGAACCAATGTCGACCACCAAGTGATGCAGTCTTGGTAGGACCCTAAACATCTGTGTGCACGTAGTCCAGGATGCCCCTCGTCTGATGAATGGCAGTCCCGAACTTTACTTTCGTCTTCTTGCCAAGAACACAGTGCTCACAGAACTCAATCTTCCTACTCTTGGCTCCCTTCAATAGCCCCTGCTTGCACAATGCCTACAGTGACTTTTCACCTGTGTGCCCCAACCTATAGTGGCAAAGTCTGCTCATGTCCGCTTCTGAAATAGCCGAAGCAACCTGGCCAATCTCGGTGCTTCCCTTCAGATAATACAAATTCCGATTGCGGACTCCCCTCATCACCACCAATGATCCCTTAGTAACCTTCGCTACAGCGTTTTCGAAAGTCACCTTGAATCCCTTCGCCTCCAAAGCTCCAACTAAGATAAGATTTTTCTTCAGTTGAGGAACAAATCTCACCTCCTTCAACTCACGGACTACTCCATCGTGCATCCTAATCCGCACGGTACCTATCCCACAAACGCCACAGGATTGATCATTTCCCATAACAACAACGCCCTCGTCGACTTTCTCAAAAGATGCAAACCAGTCTCGCCTAGGGGTCACATGAAAAGTAGCGCCGGAATCAAGCATCCAATCTGATGCATCCACATGGTTCACCTCCGGAGTAATCAGTAGAGAAAAGCACGAATCATCAGAATCATCGCCTTTCGCAATATTCACCTAATTGGCCTTCGGGCCCTTTTTCTTGCCATTCTCTTTCTCCTTGAGCTTCGGGCAGTCTCTCTTCCAATGTACATGCTCCTTACAGAATGCACATTGATTCTTTGCTAATTGGTGACGGCTTCTTGACTTTGACCTTCCTCTATTACCACCTTTCGGATATGGGCTTCTACCTCTCGTCGACAAGGCCTCTCCTGAAGTACTAGCGCGGGAAGTCTCCTTATCCTTCCTCCTCAAATCGTAATTTGTCAAAGCGTTAGTCACTTCACTATAGCTGATAGAAGATCTCCCGTTCAACAAAGTGAGCACGAAGGTATCATACTCCTCATCCGGTAAGGAGCCCAACAAAATAATCGTCTTGTACTCATCTGATATCTTCTCATCAACATTCGCCAAGTCCGATAACAACTTAGTGTAGTTGTTCACATGAACCACTAGCGAGGTGCCTCTGGACATCTGAAATCTGAAGAGTCTTCGCAGCAAGTGCAATCTGTTCTCAACACTCTTTGTGAGATACTTGTTGTTGAGAATTTCCCACATCTTTATTGCAAACGTCACCCCAATCACATCATATTTCAGCTCCTGTTCCAAACAGGACCTGATCACCCCACAAGCGTTCCTATTTATTTTCTTCCATACCGCCTCATCATATTTAGGTGGCCTCTCGTGGATCATGATGGTCTCTTTCAGATTCTGAGCATTGAACGCATCCTGTACGTCACTCATCCACAAACCAAAGTTGATTTTGCCGTCATACTTCACCACACTAATCTTAGTGTTCTGAAAACCAACTTGTATTGTACTTGCTATCGATTTGCTGCTTTCACCTTCTTCTCCCATTGCGAACTAACTCCAAAATTGTAGAGAAAGAACAAATTTGATAGAAATTAGGAACCACCCAACTGAACCCTAGATTGGATTCCAAATAGAGTTCCTAATCACACGAGGAAAGCGAAATCTCCAACGGCAACTCCTAATGCTATCTCCACCGAAGCCGAGAACTCCAAGAACTAAGCTTCACACAAGAATCTTCCTCCACCAAAAAACCCTAGATCTGAAATCTGGGCTCTGATACCACTTGTTGCGCGCAGCGGAAATTTCGGCAGCACTTCGGCAGCACAACAAGAGAGTCAGATCGCAATAAGAATTCCCGTCTCACCAAGGAGACAAGAATCTGAAGCGGATATCTCAACCAAGTGAGATATCGGCTCTTCCTCTCATCAGTTCTAGGACTGACCTGTCGAGGGATCCTAAAAGCTATTACAATCCCTCACAAATACCTCTCAAAGGGATGCACAAAACCCTAAAAGAGACTACACAAAATCTCCTTAACTGTAGCTACTATTTTTCTTTCTGCAGTCGCCAAACAATTCCGCATGCCCAGTGCGGACAGCCGAAAATTTTTCTCCGAAAAAACTCCTCGCGCTCTGTACTGCACGCCGAAAAAATCCCCAGCCAAAATAACAAAACCTTGCACACAACCCTAGGCTAAACACACCCTCATATTTATAAGAGTGGCACTAGGGGCACACCCCCAATCACAACTCCAACCACACACACTCTCTCATTTGCTACAGTGCACCGGGCCCCACATGAGATTTTAAATTTTTAAAATCTCATGTGGGACCCGGTGCACTGTAGCAATGATAGAGATGGTGTGGTTGGAGTTGTGGTTGTGAGTGTGTCTCTATCATTTTCCTATTTATAAAAGCTCAATTGTGGGTCTTCGGGTACGCGAAACGAAACCGCGTTGGCTCGCGGAAACGGACCTCATTCACGTGGTGGTGGCCCACGTTCACAGTATCTACTGGAGTATGAGTTTTTATGGTTAACTACATTCTTTTATTATTATTTTTATATTTTTATATTTTTTATTTAGTTAACTACATGCTAGCTAGATCACCATAAAATACTCATGAAATATTACGTCTCACTCGTATATGCCTATCAAGAAATAAATGATACCTAACTCCATACGGATCAACTCCACTACTTCAAGAAAATAACAACAGGATGCAATCACAGATTTAGCCAATAAGCCAAATATCTCATAAGAATATATATGTTTTTCCTTTGGCAATATATTTGTTGATACAGTCAGGCTCCAGTAAATTGGGCCAAAAGTTTCCATTTTTTTTCCAAATCGAGGAACTAAATTTCACATATTTTTAGTTTAAATTCCAAACTGAGTTAAAAATTGAGTTCAGTTTTACTACATAATTGGGGAAGTAGATCATTTTCCATCTTTGCATGAAAGTGAATGTTATTAATTAGCAGTCATGTAACGGGATATTCTGATTTATTTCTACAATAACGTTTGACCTTAAAAATACTTCCTGATTTTAGGAGTAATCCAGCTCTATTATGCCCTTGTAGTAATCGCATGAATATATAATCTAACATTTTAGTTCAGTAATTACGACTTTCAATGGTTGAACAGTTACTTAAATGTAGCATATATATTTTAGCACATTAAGCCCGATATTGTAGTTGGACATGTTTTTGTTAATTACAGATCGCATATGCCTTGATATGGACTAAAGTGTAAGCAGAGTATTGTTGGCAGGATATTGTATTAGTTAGATAAATGGTTTAACATATTTCAGAACCCCAGAAACGTGCATGACAACATGAACCAAGAAAAATATTTTGTCAATCTCTCCTTCCCATAAGTAAAAGTATATCCAGGAAACGTTTCCTACTATACATACAATGTCCAAAACTTGCAAATATTTTTTTTTTCTCTATTATATTCTTCAAATTTCCATATGCAGCCCCGCATCTGTTTCCTATTGCTAACTAAAACAAAAAAAAGAAAGAAAAACAAGAGGTTCTTTCGCTCTCTAGTCCCTTGTTCTTGGATTTGGGTTTGTCAGGAAGGTCATGTACAAAAGCTCCGCAAATAAAAGTTTAGTCATCGAGTTGAATCCAATCCCCTTGCTTCAGATACACTCATTATTCTTAGCCTCTTGCAAGAGGAGACGAACATCCTGCAAACACCACATAATATATATATTAGTATTTTAAACCTCACTTAAGTTTGCATAATTAATGAAGTTGTGTTTAGTATATTCAAACTTACCCCCATGGAACATCTCCTACTAGCATCCAATCTCCCTCTTTATCCTCATACGTGGCTGCGTAATCTGATGAAATCAAAATAAACAAGGTTCAAAACTTTGCACATAATTTTTTGTACTGAATATTATATTTAATTAGCACTTGTGCAGAATCAGGCTACTTACCAAAGGAAAAGCAGTTGAACAAATTCTTCAAGCCCCCTCTAAACTCATTGTATCCCTGATACGTGCTTAGGTCAATTTTTCTCAAGTATGGAGCTCCATCCATACTCACTTTGACATATAACCCTCCAATATTATCACCCTCTATCTTCGCCTTTGCTCGAGAGGAACAGTTCTTTCTTGGTAATCGAAGTGGAGGCCATCCCACAACTTGTGCCCTGCACAAAATTAACACGTAATTAACCACCATCAATTAGTACCCAAACGCATCAAAGAATACAAATGTAGCAGCACAAAAACAGCGAAGACATACTTTGTTGCGGTCGCAATTTCTTGATCATCACTTTGCTCGTTGGATCTCTTGGTGCCTCTTGTCTGTACCTCAGATGGGCCTTCAATCCCTGGCAATCCGAGCCTAAGCTCAGTCGCCATTAACTTGTCGATAGCACAGTCGTAGCTCTTTAAAACTTCCATTCTCTTAGCAATGTATACAGATATCTTTGCGTTGTTTGTGTTGTGGAAGAGTGAGTATTATATATATATATAATATATAATATAATATATATAGAAAATGGCTTAGATTTGAGAGGAGACAGTGTCATTATCAAAAAAAAAAAAAATATATATATATAATATATATTATATATATATATATAAAAAGGCTAGATTTGAGAGGAGACAGTGTCATTATCAATAAAGATATCATAATTTGTGTATTGGATGGTAGGGGACAGAGAATATTATGGCGGTTTGGTTGATGGTACAGCAGCATGACGAGGCAATGCTGGTCAACAATGGGGGCAATCTTGGCCGACCACTGATCATAGAATCTCAACCGCTGGATTCGAGGATTTTATGGGGTACAAGGAGCAGCCCATGTGGACTGGTCCATACTTGAGGATCAAAGCATGTGTAAGTTTAATAAGGTGACGTGTTAGTATTCCATGCTAGAGGATCAGAGCATGTGTATGTTTAATGAGGATGCTGTGTTAGTATAAGAGATCCTTTGATGATATAAGAAAAATTATGAGTTCTCTGTGTTAGGATATGTGAAGCATAACTATCAAGAATGCCCTATACTTCAGAAGAGAAGAGGAACAAAGTTGGAATAGGATGAACAGGATTGACGATGGCGAAGTTCAAGCAAAATGACGAAAGAGGCACTTTTCTGCATCGCGGTCGACCGAGCAGGGCGCGACGGTCGACCGCCTATGTGCACAGCTGGGTGCACAGGCCAGAAACTCGTCGCGGTCGACCGAAGGTGGCGCTGCGGTCGACCGCTCAAAGTCCAGAGAGCAACCCAGCTTTCTGTCTTCGTCGCGGTCGACCGAGCATGGCGCTGCGGTCGACCGCCAAAAGTCCAGAGAGCCAGGCAGATTTCGAACAACATCGCGGTCGACCGGAGTCGGATTTTGGCCCAGATTCGAATTTTGACCTGTTTTGATCTGTTTCCTTCTTTAGTTATTTAACCCTTAAGTCTATAAAAGGGTTGATTAGGGCATGATGTATTAAGACGAAAAAAATAGTAAATTTTTCTCCTGCGGCGGCCGTGGACGTAGTTTCTCACATTGAGAAGCGAACCACGTAAATCTTGTGTGTTTGAGATTGTTTGATTTTCTCTCTTCTCTCCTAAATCTCTATTTCCAAATCGCATCAGGGGGGTTGTGCATCCCCAACAAGTGGTATCAGAGCGACCAGGTTCGGCGCGAGCGATTTGAGGTCAGAGACAATGGGATCTGAGAAGGAAACATCCAAGATTGAGAAGTTTGATAGAACAAACTTCGGGTTCTGGAAGATGCAGATGGAAGACTACCTCTATCAGAAGGATTTATCCCTACCATTGGGAGAGAAGCCGACGGATATGAAGGATGCGAATTGGAAGCTATTGGATCGAAAGGCCCATGGAGCGATCAGGTTAACCTTGTCTAAATCAGTGGCGTTCAACATCAAGAATCAGAATACGACGGCGGATCTCATGGCGGCGTTGTCCAATATGTATGAGCAGCCCTCTGCGGTGAATAAGGTACATCTCATTAAAAAGTTGTTTAATTTGAGGATGTCCGAGAGCCAGAAATTCAAGGAACACCTGAACGAGTTTAACGAGATCACGGATCCATTAAACTCGTTCGATCTCAGATCCATTAAACTCGTTCAATATTCAGTTTGACGATGAAATCCAAGCCCTCTTGATACTTGGTCAATTACCCGATAGCTGGAAGGGTACCGTTATCTCGATTAGCGGATCATGTGGCAAATCAAAACTAAAGTTTTCAGAGGTGGTGGACATGATTATGACTGAGGAGATTAGAAGGCAAGAGGAAGAGATTTCTAATTCAGGGTCGGCGTTGAATCTTGAGAGCAGAGGAAGAAATAGAAACAGAAATAGAGGGAATAGCCGAGGAAGACCTAACTCGAGGAACGGGAGGTCAAAGTCCAGAAATCGCAAGAGCAAGAAGGAGATCGATTGCTGGAATTGTGGCAAGTTTGGCCACTATGAGAATCAGTGCCGAGAACCCAAGAAGGACAAGGAGAACAAGACTGAAGCGAACGTGGCCTCAGGAGAATCAGATGATGCCCTAATCTGTTCGTTGGAGAGCAAAACTGAATCGTGGGTGCTGGATTCAGGAGCTTCGTTTCATGCTACCTCAAATAGAGATTTATTTGAGAACTACGTTTCAGGAAACCTAGGAAAAGTCAATCTTGGTGACGATCAGCCCTGTGATATTGTTGGCAAAGGAGTCGTGCAAATCAAGCTCAATGGGTCTACATGGAAGCTGAGCGATGTGAGACATGTTCCTAGCTTGAGGAAAAATCTGATTTCCATAGGACAATTGGCGAAAGAGGGATACGTATCAACCTTTGCATGTGATACATGGAAGGTTACAAAGGGATCCATGGTTGTTGCCCGTGGTACGAAGACGGGATCTCTCTACATGACGATAGATGCACGAGGTTCCATTGCAGTGGCTGAAGGCAGTGAAGACCCAAATTTGTGGCACCAGAGGCTAGGTCACATGAGTAGCAAAGGCCTAAAGGTTATGCAATCGAACGGGAAGTTACCAGGTTTGAGATCGGCTGATATTGACCTATGTGAAAGCTGCATTCTAGGGAAACAAAAGAGAATAAGCTTCAAAAGGGTTGGCAGAACTCCTAAAGAAGAGAAGCTTGAGTTAGTTCACACAGACGTGTGGGGTCCAGCATCAGTACCATCCACCGGCGGAAGGTTATACTTTGTGACATTCATAGATGATCACTCGAGGAAGACTTGGGTCTATTTCATGAAACACAAATCAGAAGTGTTTGAAGTCTTCAAGAGATGGAAGAACGAGACCGGTTTGAAGATCAAGAAGCTTCGTTCTGACAACGGAGGCGAGTATGAAGACTCAAAGTTCAAGAGGTTCTGTTATGACAGCGGCATTAGATTAGAGAGGACAGTGCCAGGTACACTCAGCAGAATGGCGTAGCAGAACGGATGAACAAAACTTTAACTGAGAGAGCCAGAAGTATGCGGTTACAAGCAGGTTTTCCAAAGTAATTCTGGGCAGAAGCAGTCAACACAGCTGCCTACTTGATCAACCGGGGCCATCAGTGCCTTTGGAGCACAAAATACCTGAAGAAGTATGGAGTGTAAAGCAGGTAAACATTTCTCACCTGAGAGTATTTGGTTGTGTTTCTTATGTTCATCTGAGTGATCATGCAAGAAAAAAACTTGATCCTAAGTCTCTGAAATGTTTCTTTGTTGGCTATGGCGGTGATGAGTTTGGCTACAAGTTCTGGGATGAGCAGAATAAGAAAATCATCAGAAGCAGGGATGTGGTCTTTAATGAAACAGTCCTCTACAAAGACCGTGATGTCGTTCAATCCACCAGTTCAACACAGCGTGATCCCACATACTTCGAGTCAGATGATGCCTCAGATGGAGACAATCCCGAAGTTAGTTCTGATGAAGAAGAAGAGTTGATGGATGAGACCACTTCAGAAGGGGCAGATGAAGATGGAGAGACTATTTCGCCCGTCAGAGAGTTGAGGCGGTCTGCTAGAGTCCCCAAGCCCAATCCAAAGTATCCATCAGCCCAGAGCTCATCTTAACTACCTATTATTGAGTGACGGTGGAGAGCCAGAAAGTTATGATGAGAGCCTTTGAGTGTATGATGCGAGCAAGTGGGTGCTCGCCATGAAAGATGAAATAAAATCCTTAAACACCAAAAAGACATAGGAACTTGCGAAGCTACCAACAGGGAAAAAGGCCTTGAGCAATAAATGTGTGTACAGAATCAAAGAGGAACATGATGGTTCCAAGAGATACAAGGCCAGATTGGTGGTTAAAGGATTTCAGCAGAGAGAAGGAGTTGATTACACAGAGATCTTCTCTCCAGTAGTCAAACTAACTACCATCAGAACAGTCCTGAGTATTGTTGCAGCTGAAGATCTACATCTCGAGCAGCTAGATGTAAAGATAGCTTTCCTCCATGGTGATCTAGAGGAAGATATATATATGCAGCAGTGAGAGGGGTTTACTCAGAAGGGAAGAGAGAAGATGGTATGCAGATTGAAGAAGAGCTTGTACGGCCTAAAACAAGCTCCAAGGCAATGGTACAAAAAGTTTGATGGATTCATGCACAGGAACGGTTACTCCAGGTGCAATGCTGATCATTGCTGTTTCGTCAAAGAGTTTGACAAAAGTTACATCATCCTGCTCCTATATATCGACGACATGTTTGTAGCCGGTTCAGATATGAAAGAGATCAAGAAGCTGAAGAAGCAGCTGTCGAGTGAGTTTGACATGAAGGACCTAGGCGCAGCGAAGCAGATATTGGGAATGAAGATTAGCAGAGACAAACTCTTAGGCACACTATGACTATCTCAGGCCGAGTATATTCGACGGGTGCTTGAGAGATTCGTGATGAGCGGTGCTAAGGCCGTTAGCACACCGTTAGCTAGTCATTTCAAATTAACTAAGGAGCAGTGTCCCGAGACTGATGAAGAGAAAGACTACATGGCTAAGGTTCCATATGCTTCAGCCATTGGAAGCCTTATGTACGCCATGGTATGCACGAGACCTGACATTGCCCATGCAGTGGGAGCCGTGAGCAGATTCATGTCAGATCCAGGAGAGCAGCACTGGGAAGCAGTAAAGTGGATTCTGAGATACCTGTGAGGTACAATAGAAGATTGTTTATGCTTCAGAAGAGGCAAGTTAGTTCTGCAGGGTTTTGTTGATGCAGACTATGCTGGTGAGATAGACCAGAGAACGAGCACTACAGGATATGTATTCACTTTGGGCTCTACAGCTATTAGCTGGGTTTCTCAGTTGCAGAAGATCGTTGCTTTATCAACGACAGAGGATGAATATGTTGCTGTGACAGAGGCGAGCAAGGAGATGATATGGTTGCAGGGTTTCTTGGAGGAGCTGGGACAGAAGAGTGAGAAGAGTGCCTTACATTGTGATAGCCAGAGCATAATTTATCTGGCAAAGAATCCCGCTTTTCATGCAAGGACCAAACACAT